AGATAATAGCTCAATCAGAAATCAGACATCAAATACGAAAACTGAAATCATATCAAATCGGATATCATAAAGCTTTCATGTCACAGAGCAGACATAATCGTACATAATAATCAGAATCGTACAGAATAATTAGAATCGTACAGAAATTAGAAATCGGATAAAAATCACATTACAGCTTTACAAAACAGATAATGTCAGAACAGAACTTCCTTCCAGATGTTAGAACTTCCCCTCTTCCCCTTATGGCTCCCTTTTGTGCTTATAGCATAAGAACTTTCCCTTATAGCTCCCTTTTGTGCTTATAGCACAAGAACAGAATAGATATACATAATTTCAGATTTCAGAACTTCCCCTTATGTCTCTCTTCCCGGACCTAGACAACGGAATCACATAGGATTCCGGCCCCTTATAACTCCCTTCTGATAGCATACAAATGATCAATTCATTCAAATTGTCTCATTTCAGACTTTCAGAAATCATACAAAAATTCAGCGGCATAACGGCAGTATACGGAATTTACACAAAATCCACAGACTCATAAATTTACCAAATTACCACAGAACATTCACAACAATATTATAAGACTTTCATTGTACTGACAAAACATTTTTCAACATCCTGATATTTTACAGTTCAATCAAAACACCGCAGAATCCAAAATGTATGGTACAAATCTTCTAGAAAATACTCAAAACGTGCATAATTATCATCTCAGAGATATACCAAAAGTTACACGGTAAAACCTTTGTCAAAAGAAAATAATACCAGAAATTCGCTAACCTAGACAAAATCCGAAACAGAAAATGCATCAAAAATTTTGTTTCTAAAAATTGAGAAAGGCGGAATGTGCCTTTCCTCGAGTCGGTCAACTTCTCTAACTACCACAACGGACGAAAACATATCGGATTCGCTAAAAAATCATCTTTTCCTTCATTTTTCTCTCTCTTGGACGTCCTTTTCTTTTTAAAATATCTAAATTCCATATATATCAAAACTGATCGTCTCGGACTATCGCAACTTCATCCCGGGACGATTTGGCTCTGGACGAATTTCGTCCAAACGAAATTAATTGTCGTCACGGATGACTTGGGGTCGGGACAAATTTCGTCCAGACGAAATTAATTATCGTCCCGTATGATCTGCTCTCGGGACGATTTTCGTCCAGACAAACCATGCAGCCAAACATGTTTTCCTGCACAACCTGTACCGATCGTCCCGGACTATCCAACTTCGTCCGGACGAACCTGGGAGCAAAATGGTCTTTACATGCATTGCCTGACATATATGTTTTTTTAGCAAAGGCAATGTCGGGCCTAGTAATGGTGAGGTAATGTAATGAGCCTGCAATTCGTCTGTATAGCTTTAGATTTTCAAACAGGTCATCTGGTGATGAGCATTTGGAGGTTTTCGTGGGGAGGGGAGTAGGTGCCGGTTTGCAGTTTGAGAACCGAGAGGTAAGAAGCAGTTCTCGAGCAAATTGAGACTGATGGAGGAAGCATCTGTTGGGGTGCACTAAACTTGAATGCCGAGAAAGGTAGATATTGTACCGAGCTGTTTGAGAGAAAGTTCTGATTCCAATTGAAGAAGCAGTTTGTTGATAGTGGTTTTATCATTCCCTGTGAGCAGCAGGTCATATACATAAATCAGTAGATACAGTCTAGTGGTGTGCTTATTGTGCATGAGTAAAGATGGGTCTGATTTGCTGAAGATGAAGCTGAATCGAAGTCGGGATGAGGTGAATTTGGTAAACCACTGTCTCGGAGCCTGCTTGAGGCCGTAAATGGATTTGCGCAATTGGTAGACATGATTGGGAAAGGGAGGATTTGTAAAACCGGGAGGTTGCTTCATGTACACTGTTTCCGTGAGGTCTCCGTGAAGAAAAGCATTGGAGAAATCAAATTGTAGGACCGGCCATTGCCGTTGAAGAGCGATTACGAGCATGAGACGTATAGTTGTGATTTTCGCCACGGGGCTGAAAGTTTCGGTGTAGTTGACGCCATGCTCTTGGGTGAAGCCTTGAGCCACGAGACGGGCTTTGTGAGTGAGAGGCTAACCGGCGGAATTGAGCTTGGTCTTGTAAGTCCACCGGCAACCAAGAACAGGGGAATCTTCTGGAGGTGGGACAAGTGTCCAGGTTCGTTGTTTCAAAAGAGCAGCAAGCTCATCGGACGTTGCAGTTCTCCAGACTGGGTGTTTGCTGGCTTGATTGAATGTTGTTGGAGTTGGGTCAGGAGATAGGGTGACCGAGAGGTAGAGTATGGTTTTCGGTTTGAGATGCCCTATCTTGAACCTGGTTAGCAATCGATGTTTGGGGGTGGAGATGAGGGTGGAGATGATGCAGTGGAGAATGTTGTGGGAGATGTAGATGGTCTCTGTGTGATGTAGGGAGGAGAGATCAGTGATGGTGGTGACGAGGCTGGTGGATGGGAGTTGTGAGAGGAGAGAATAATGGGTTGATGTAAGTTGGATGTGGGAATGAGTATAAGGGGATAGGATTGAGCTGGATCGGGAGGGAGGGGAGTTGATTGTGGTAATGAGTGAAATGGGAAGATTAGTTCGTGAAAGACAACGTGGCGAGATATGTGAATTTTATGTGTTGTTAGATTATAGCAACGATATCCTTTTTGTGTGGATGAATAACCAAGGAAAATACACTCCTGGGAGCATGGTTGAAGTTTGTTGGAAGTGAGGTGCCGAAGCCATGGAAAGCATAGGCATCCAAAGGTTCTGAAGACATACTCATGTACATCCTGAATGGGCTACCTCCGGCCTACAATGCCTTCACCACTGCTATACGCACATCTCAGCTGTCTATCAGCCTCGATGTTCTGTATTCTCTTCTCTGCATCGAAGAGATAAACCTGCATAATCAAGATCAAAGGATGGGCAATCAGTCCACAGAACAGATGGCACTCTTCTCTCAACGATCCAGATCCTCCCGGGGACGATCGAGCTCCTACCGCGGCAAGGGAAGCGGTCGACCTCCTCCCGCCAACAATCAAGACACCATTGCCGCTAACAAATCCAAATATTCACCAAGACCGACTTGTCAAATATGTGGAAAGCTGGGGCATTCTGCTCTTACCTGCTGGCATCGCAGTAATCTCCAGTACACTCCAACTGTACCAAACCAGGCCAAAGCTTTGATACCATGAGGAATCACCTGCATAGAAGAATAGTGAAGGAGAAGAGAAACGAAGAAGATGAACAGTAGAAAGTAATATTTATTAACTCTTCATATTGTAAACAGTGGTATGAGGTTGCTTATATAAGCAGTGAAGAGGAGTTGTATCATGATAGGTAGTGGCTACTCAGAGCCGTTGGTGGCAGTCTGCCGTGACAGGAAGAGTGGAGAAGAAACGGTTAGAAAGAGTGGCTCCGCTAGTTGTGCTAACACAGCACACTAAAGAATTCAACATTAAATTTTGGGAGAAATAGTTCATATATAGTATCTCTTACTCCTCTTCTTTTCTCTCTTCAATTCTTAAACCTTCATCATTCAAAAGTCAAAACTAACAAGAGACGCACATAAACATCTTAAGTGATCCAATCCTTTAACTTAAACATGAAAAATGAGAAATAAAATTGCTCAGCGGGACTTGCAACATTGTGGCGCTTCGCTCTCTATCTTTAGCCTAATTATCAGCGTCGAGGTTTGGAGTGCCGATGCGCTCTACTCTTTGTCTCCAACTAACCTGAGTATATAGCACCGCAACGTTGTATGATTGTGTAAAATTTTTTTCGGGGGTTAGGGAGGCCTCTGATAAGCTCAACCAACTGAATTCAGATCTGGGTTGTTGGGGAAGTAAAATCACATAGTGAAACAAGCAAGAAACGAAAAGAAAGAACATTATGATTTAATATGGAAAAAGAAAACTGAGAAAAAAATCACAGAGTTACACCACACTAAAAAATTCATTATGAAATTTTAGGAGAAATAATATAGATCTCTTCTCTTTCACTCTCACATTGGCTTGCTTTCATTGTTTCTTCGTTCTTCACACCAAGTTTAGAGCCTCGCAAGTCTCTACTTTTGTCTTGTGTATGAGTTGCAGTGTCGTGGCACCGACGTTGGGAACGCCGCTATGTTCCACTCTATATCTCGTGTATGAGACACAACGTGCAATTTGGAGTGTCGTGGCGCACCGCTCTCTATCTATCTCCAAGCAAACAATACAATATTGCAGCGCTATGCAGTCTTACAAAAGCAACTGAACCTAAGCAGGAGGAGGCCCCCTACAACCTCCAACGAGCTCGGCCAAAGAAGTATGAGGTAAACAGTACAACCTTTGATCTTCACAATTAAATTTTACCAAATAAAAGTTCCTTTACATGTGATTTACATGCACTTTAGTTGTGCTTTTACTATTCTTTTGTTGCACTTTTTTTACTGTGTCATGACTGCGCTTGGCTTAAAGTTTCACGGACATATTAAATATATAAAGTAAAAAATAAATCAAAATAAATATCTACCTGTCCACTCTACGTGTTAACATTTTATTGGAGTTCGGACATACCTCTACATTCGGTCTCCACGATACATCCGATCTCCGCACATAATAATTTTTCCCTTCTTAGCGGGTTTATAATTAAATCAAGACACATGACTTTTTCTCACTTATACGAGAAATTATTATGTGTGGTCACCGAATGCCGTATTGTTATGTACCGGTATTGTGTACCACTGTGTACCGGATAACATGATACATTCTTATTTACCTCCTGACAATCTGATGACCACACGTAATAATTTATCCACCTATACACACTTTTCCTCACTTATACACATGATGTATATAAGATAAAAGTTTATACATACTATATATAAATTATACCTATCATATATAGAAGTGAAAAAAATTTTACATGTCGTAATTTAATTGAAGTTTGGACATAGAACTATATCCAACCTTTGCACAAAATAATTTGTCCCGTTTCACACTATACCTTCGATCGTTTAAAATTAAAATCTATCACGTCGACGCTTCCACGAAACCGCATTCAATATAATTTCCATGGCAGATATTATAGAATTATTGGCACTATAAACCACCCTTCGGAATCCAAAGAGGCAAAGACCAGAGCAGAACGCCTTACGCCCGCCGGAGCTCTCCTCTCTCACCTTTCCCATCCAACAAGATATAAGGTATCCCTTTGTTTCCTAGCCGAAAGAAATTAAGAGAAGGAATGGGGGTTGAGTTGCAGAGCCCCGGAGAGCCTGTGAGCGAGCTCCGCGAGAGCTTCAGGTCAGGGAAGACGAGGAGCTACAAATGGAGAAAGACGCAGTTGAAGGGCATTCTCCGTATGATTGTCGAGAAGGAGACGGAGATCACGGACGCTCTCTACGTCGACCTTTCCAAGCCGAAGCTCGAGTCTTTTATCCATGAGGTTCCAGACTCTCTTCCCATTGATCTCTTCTGATTATCTTCTTTTTCTTTGCGAATTTAATCTCAAATTCTTCGTCTTTCTAATTAAAAGTTTAAGCACCCAACAAACAGATTAAAATCGTTTAGGTTATCTGCGCTTACCAAATCAATTTGGGAAAGGGGTAACTTAATAATTTTTATGAAAAATATATTGATTTTCAAGCATTGAGATAGCGACAATATATTGATTTGGTGGAGCATTACCGATCAAATTATGACTTCGTTTGGTAGATCTATTTTTTTTTCTGCGTTTTAAAGTGTTTTTTTAGTAAAAACTGCTTTAAGAAAGTTGTCCCTAGCGCATAAGATAATTTGATTCAAATTTTCTTCCATAAGCTATCCACCTAATTTTGACTTTTTTTTTAATGAAGAATATAATTTAAAGGTTTATTATTATTATTATTATGTAAGGAATGTTTTATAAATTTGATTTGATTTATCAAAGAAGTAATTTTGTCAGTTTTCGGTCATACATTGTTGGAGACTTTTGTTGCATTAAATTGTTGAACTGGCCTACACACTGTTGATAGGATCAAAGAGTAATGAATGGGGGCTCCGAAACAAATAAACATACATAAATTGATGCTTCTTCCGTTCTTCGGTTATCAAATAAATTCCTAATTTTATAAATTATTTTAAAAATTAAGTGATGCAAAAGGTGTGGACTTAAATAATTAAAATAATAATAATAATATAATTTTTTTAGGGGCTGGTTGGGAGCACCGAGGAGTTGATTTAAGCAGGATTTCGTAAATCCTCTAAATTTAGATTCCAGAAATCTTGAGGGGCCTAAATTCTAAATTTTTTTATAACATTCATGATAAATATATTCTATTAAATCCTGTGTGACTGTTTGGCTATAGAGTGGATTTAAAAAGCGAATTCTTTCTCTCCAGCCAATAAATTTTGTAAATCCGACGAAAACAAGATTTCATAAATCCGGGATTTAGCACAAAAAGACGGAATCCATCTACAACGGCTTTCATTTGCCGTGAAATTTGGTTTTGCATTTAGGCCTTTTGGCTGTATTTACCTCAAATCCGGCGTAAAACGTGCTACTAAACATCCCCTTAGGGGCTGTTTCGCAACAAGTGGGATTTAACTTTATTGAGATTTAGTAAATCTTGTAAATCCGGATTTAGTAAATCCGATATGTGTTAAATCTTGAAAACTGTTTGGTAAGATATATCAAGATTTATGGCAATTAGGAATTGAAATTTAAAAAATATATTTATGAGATCAAGATCATTTCAAAAAATATCATTAAACAAATTTAAGTTCATACAAAATGATCGAATTCAATAAAGAACAAATTACAAAATAATATTGACCAAAATGACAAATTAAGCATTAAATCAGAGAATGTATTAAATATCTAGATATCTTCATATCCATTTCTTGGGAGCCAATTTATTTTTCACGAAGATCTATTATATATTAATATCTTAGCTGCTTATTAATTAATATATTATTAAACTAATAAAATATAATGTCTAAATTAAAATTTTTATTAATCATTTTTAGATTAATTGAATCATACATCCTTTATATAAATATCTTCTCATTAATTAGTAAAATATTAAATAAAAAAAATTATTAAATTAAATAAAATTGTAAATAATATCATTAATTTAAGTTAATATTTATGTAAATTAATTAATACTATAAGTTTTTATGTAAGCATCAAAATATCAAATCATGATAAGTATTTCTTAATATTTCTATTAGTTAGTACATGTAGTTAAAACTAGTAATTATTTTTAAAAACTATTCTTTATATATGATCTGCTTAAAACATTTTAGGCTTGTCTAGGGTTTGGTTTTCTCCATCGCCATTTCGTCTTTCCTTGCTCTCTCTCTTTTGGAGGAAAATGACGTCCTCGTGGATTTGTGGCGCTTGAACGCACCTTCAGTTAGTTGCTGGTTGAGCTTCAGCGGCGCTGCAGAGGGTAGAACATATACTTGCCACAATTTTTTTTTTGCGTCCGCAAATGCTGCAATCCACCGAATTAGCCTCGCTGGCCACAATTTTTTTTTCTGTTAAAATGTCTAATTAAAAAAAAACTGTCCTTTTTTTAAGTCTGTATGCTCTCATTTATTATCAATCAGAATGTTTGAATCTTTTCATCATATTCGAAAGAGAGAGAGAGAGAGGGGGAGAAGAAGAGGCGGAGATGGTGACAGAAGAGCGGAAGAGAAAGAGAAGATACAGACGGAAGAGAGAGTGACAGAGATAGGGCGATAGGGGGAGAGAGAAGAAAGGCAGCTATAGCCAATAGGGTGACGTAGGAGAAGATTATTTTTTTCACAGTGCACTTCTGGATAAGATATGGGTTTTAAGATTTTACTGCCAATATGGCAAATTAAGTCCAAATTGTGGAAATCAGAAACATTTTTTATGGGTGTAATTGAAGACAAATTATTCTGTGTGGACTCATGGTGGTCCGGAGGTTTAACTAAAATGAGCCAAGTTATCTGGTTTACGGTATCTAGCAGCGATACTGAAAAATAATAATAATAATAATAATATGACGTATTCTGATTGGCCTCCAATCAACATCCCGTATTCACATTCGTTTTCATTCATATAAGAGAAATTACAAAAAATTACAACTCAGGAAAACAAAATTTTTTTTTTGAAGAGCTGCTGTAAAAAAATTGTAATGCTAAGGGCTATAATGCATCGACACTTCTCCTCAAAGAGGCGTGCAGTGTCCGACACGTATTCGACACGACACTCGCCTGACACTCCTCCGACATGTGTCGGACACGTCGAAACCGTGTCCAATTAAAAAAATATTAAATACAAATTGGACACACGTGTCCGACAAGCGTATCTGAAACATTTGATTTTTTTTTAAATATAATTTCTTGTATTTGACGGGATTTAAACAAATTTTTTTTATTTCCTATCCACGATACCAAATCAACATCCGCACTTAATACCCATTCATCGAATATTTTCATTTTCATTTCTCTTTGGCAGTGAAGGTATTGTTATCTCTTCTCTCGGTGACTGATAAACGGCATTGGTGCCTGACTCTCGACATGCTAATACTAATCATTTTAGGTACAAATTGTAGTGAAATGATTTATTATTTCTAAATTATTTTTAAAATTATACTTATTTAATTTTTTTACACTTTTTAAAATGTAAAAACTATAATATCGTGTACAACCCGTGTCCTATATTTTCAATAATTGACGTGTCCCGCGTCCGTGTTGTGTCGTATCTGTGTCGCCGTTGAAGAAACTCAAGAAGGGGATAAAGAAGATTGAAAGCTAAATGTAAAACAGATATACAAATGTATTATTAATCTTGTATCCGGTTACAGGTGATGCTTATGTATATATAGATACAAATTGCTCTTATGTGTACACGTGTCCATTTGTGATAGGTGTTGGATAATAACACGAGATTTAATTGTTTTGATTACATTGTTCTAACAGTCGTGTCCATGTCTGTGCACCATAGGCTAAAAGATAAAAATGTTAAAGAGAAATCTGAAAAAAAAAAAAAAGACATCTGGTCTAGACGGCAGCAAAGAATCACCCAGGCACAGACAAGGCAAAATCAGCATCACTCTCGGTTGCCATAGGGGAAACCAAGACCATCGAGAGAGTGGATCCAGTAGATACAAAAAAATAGTCCCTATTGTCCAGACGCCAAAAAATGAAGATCAATTATGCTGCCACGCCAGAACAAAACCAACAATGCTATTGCTCGAGATATGCCTTGAAGATTTTCCAATTTTTCCATTTAGAGACCTTATAAAAGATAGCCTTATAAATAGAAGACCTGACAGTAACAAGGCTACAGAAATGGAAGCCAAAGTTTCTTTCATTTCTTTCTTTCCAAATATAATAAACTAGAGCCCAAATGGAAAAATAGAAAGTTAGAAACCAGATTTAATGTCAAATGGAATTTCCACTTGATCAGCCACAAAGTTGATAGCTTGCTGCAGGTTTGGCCTCAAGTAGAAATAAGTATAGAATTTGGTTCCAATCTTTTTGAACAAGGTTCGAACATGGCTGAACATTGTTCAAATATGGGGGGGGGGGGTGTGGTATTTTGATATGAAATAAAATTTGGGTCATATTTTCCTAAAGAAACAAATATTAGGTATATATATTTTTGTGAGCCATATAAAATCAAATTTTCTAGTATAAATGTATATAGTTAAATATAAATTAGTTTTAAGTAGAAGGAACTTATACTTTGAACCGTTCAAGAATTAAAATTTCTTATTATGCTCATGCAAAATTTATCGAATTTGCTCCATATAAATCAAAAGGTTGGCATATTTTTTTGGGACATACTTTTAATGTTGAAGCTCAAATTTAATAAAATAGTTATTCAATTTAAGATTAGTGGCAATAAATTTCAAAATTTTTATCTACTAAACTAGTTAACACTCACATAAGCGTTTGTAAACATCAAGCCATACCACAATCATACAACTATCTTCCACCTTAGCATCCTCATCTATGTAACACTTAACTTAATATTATGCTTCTCTTTTAACAACCAACATTTTGCACCATAAAGCATTGCGGGTCTCACCACCTTCTTATAGAATTTTCCCTTAAGTTTGAAGGGAAATTTTCTATCACGCAACAAGCCGGATGCATTCCTCCACTTCAACCATCCAACTTGAATTCTACTAATAATATCCCCATCTATTTCATCATCATTTTGAACAATAGACCCAATATATCTAAAATGTGTACTCTTATTAATAACTTGATCGCCCAAAGTTACAATCCTTCCACTAGATCTATTACTACTAAAATTACCCTCCATATATTTGGTTTTAGATTTACTCAAACGAAAACCTTTATACTCTAAAGTTGACCTCCATAATTCAAGTTTACCTTCAACTCCCTCTCTAGTCTTATCAACAAGAAGAATAACATCAGCAAAAAGTATACACCAGGGTACAACCCCTTGCAAATATCTAGTCAGAACATCCATGACTAAAGCAAAAAGGATATGGGATTAAGGCTTATCCTTGATGTAATACAACTGAAATAGGAAAATACTTGGTCAAACCACCTTGTTTAATAACCCCTATTATATCAATTTCCTTATGCCCCAATTTTCTTATGCCAACTTAATTTTTAGTTTATCAAAAATTTTTAGGGGATATGAGTGTAACATTATAGCGTTAATTTTCTATTCTTATTCTCTTTGGAAGCAGCAATTGAGTAATTTCTTACAATTGCTTCCACAATGCAGATTACATTGGCAAAGCATTCCTGCGAGTTGACTCTAAAAGAATTGGAGCATTGGATGAAACCAGAGAAGGTAACGACAAATAAACACATGGAAAAAAGAAATTGATTACTGTCTTTTTCTTCATGTGACTCTATAGCCTTTGGATTAACTTTGATGAAGGAAAAAGCAGAAGAGCTTGATGTGAGCTAAAATTTTCAGCTGAGTTTTGAATGACATTAGATTGAAATCATAAAAATATAAAGAATATCCGCAGGTCTCAAGTATACTCACAGCATTCCCTTCATCATCCAAGATTGTATCGGAGCCTCTTGGTGTTGTGTTGATCATTTCAGCTTGGAACTTTCCCTTTTGTATGTATAATTATCCATTGTTTTATACAATTCAGTAACCATTTTTTGTTCAAATTATCTGCATAGTGTATTTTTTATTGTTCAGATTAGTGATGTCCAAATATTCATAAATTTTAAATCTATTTACTTGCAAATGAAAACTACTTTCAGTAAGAAAAAGAAACAGATATTCCTGATTTTTAGAAGTGCACTTTTTTTAATCTATATAAAGCAATCAGCAATTTCCTTTGTTTGTATAATCATAAATTTTCCATAAACTTGCTTTATTTACTTGTTTTTTTTGGCTTCGTTTGGGACAGTTTTCTTTCTGCTTCTTAAAGCAGCTTCCCACTACAAAAATTTTAATTTTTGTACTAGGAAGCAGCTTTAAGAAGCAATTAGAAAGTCGTCCCAAACGAAGCCTTTAAAAGGAAAAAAACCCAAAATAATCCCCTGACTATTCATATGTCGTCAATTTGGCCCTGGAATTTCATATTACCCAATTTAGTACTTCTATTATACAAAATAGTTCTCAGTAGTCCCTCAAGAACTAAATTGAAACAATTTTGTATGGTTGAGGGTCAATTTTCAAATCAATTTTGTATCTCAATTTCTGTTATAATTGAGAGATCAATTTTGTATAATCTTGAAATTAGATTGGAGAAATATAATACTTTGGTGCTAAATTGGCTATACATGAATAGTCCATCTATTTTTTTAAACGCCCTCTCTGTTTTAAAAGATCATCAATAGCTCCTAAGAAAATCTCCATTGCAATTGATTGAATCACATGTCCATCATCACAAAGCATTTTCCAAAAGTGCACTATTTTTAATCCATATATGAGATTAAAAGCTTCCTCTGATAGAATGACCACAAATTTTTCATGACCTTGCTATATTTTCATGAAGCTCTTTATAGTTTTTTTTTTTCAAAGCAATTAAATGAATCACATGGCATATGCACTTTTATCACATGCTTATCATCACGAAGTTTTTTATTTTTTTTTCAAATGGTTGCAGAATTAGGGGTATCTTAGTGGGACTTTCCATTCCATTATGAAATCCCATGTTTTGTTCAGGGCTTTAACATGACTTGTGTTTAAACCCATTTTATTTTAATTTTGTATTTTTATAACATCATTGTCTTGTTGCCTCTGTTCAACTCTATTTGATCATATGTACATATCTCTATCTTTTTTTTTTAATATGTGCACATATTTGAAAACTTACTAGCAGTAATATAGGCTTCATTTGGGATAGCTTTCTTGCTGCTTCTTAAAACAACTTTCTAGTAAAAAATTCAAATTTTTGTACTAGAAAGATGCTTTAAGAAGTTCTACGAAAGTAGTCCATAGGAAGCAATAATCTTGCTTAGGTTTTGAGTTCAATGGCTTTGCTTTTGTAATTTGAAAAATAGTTTTTTTTTTCAAGTAAATTTGAAGTTTCTTTTTAGTTGATTTAATGCAATCATTTTTCTCAAGATAAGCTTATCTTGCTCTCGTCCCAGTGTTAGGTATAGATCCTGTTATTGGAGCTATTGCAGCAGGTAATGCTGTCGTTCTCAAGCCATCAGAAAGTTCGCCAGCTACATCATCATTATTTGCCAGAATTTTGCCAAGCTATGTTGATAGCTCCTGTATCAAAATTGTTGAAGGGTCTATTTCTGAGACAACACGCCTTCTTGAGCAGAAATGGGATAAAATACTTTATACAGGTTAGGCTATTATTTCACATCTATTATGATTAAAAGCTTAAGCCCTTCTCCCATTTCTCCCCTCTACTTTCTATTTTCTAGTAGCATTGAGATGCTTCAATATAATGCAATCATCTCCTTTTATCGTGCTTAGAGATGATAGATAACAAATTAGGATATGTTATGTTAGATAGGGGAGGTTAGGTAATAAATTTATAGGATTTAGGTAGAGGATGATGATTAAGCAGTTTGTATGAGTTCAAAATTTATCTTCACATCTCAACATTGTATATGGCTTCAACATATTATAGTAAAAACTATAAGCTATCTTATAAAAATGTAATATGTTTATTGCAGGAAACGCAATTGTAGCTCGCATTATCTTGGCTGCTGCTGCAAAGCACTTAACGCCAGTTGTCTTGGAACTTGGTGGAAAATGTCCTGTTGTTGTGGATTCTGATATTGACTTAAAAGTAAATCTGCGTTATATATTAAGGTTTCGTTTGGAACTGTTTTCTTACTGCTTCTTAAAGCAGTTTTTTAGTATAAAAATTTTACTTGTTGTACTAAAAAGCTACTTTAATAAGCAGTAAGAAAGCCGTTCCAAACGAAACCTAAATCAGTTAATCTTACAAGCTTTATATCATAATCTGATTGTAACATGGAGATTTAACATTTGTCTTTTTTTTTTTTTTTTGGTATTTCAGGCTGCAGCAAGAAGGATTGTTGTTGGCAAGTGGGGAACCAATAATGGACAAGCTTGTATTGCACCAGATTATATTATAACCACTAAATCTTTTAGTCCAAAACTGGTATGAATTCTTTTAATAAAGGAGGGAAGGAGGGAAGGAGGGAGCTCAGGGAGGGATTGGGGTTTCTTGTGTTCTCAAATATTAGTCTACTTTTTAAATAGGTAGATGCTCTAAAAACTACTTTGGAGAAATTTTATGGGAAGGAACCAATGAAATCAGAAGATCTATCCCGTGTTGTGAATTCCAATCATTTTTCACGCTTGACAAGGCTACTAGCTGATGAGAAAGTTTCAGGCAAAGTCATTCATGGAGGAGAGAGGGATGAGAAGCAATTGTAAGTATTTTTTTTCAACTTTTTAATCAAATTCGATTAAGTTTCATCAAATCAACGCCCTTTTTTCTTTAACACTACAGAAAAATTGCTCCCACTCTCTTACTAGACATTCCAGATGATTCCTTAATGATGCAGGAAGAGATCTTTGGCCCTCTGCTTCCTATTATAACGGTAATAACAGGTCATGTAGTCTAATTTTTCTTACCCTTACATTGCAAAAATCTTCAGTGAAATAATTCATCAATAGAGTTCTTTCTAATGAAGCTAAGTACAGCGAGTAACATATTCATCAAAGTATTGACTATAAGTATTTTAAGAAATGTTCCACTATAATTTGACAAGGTTGACAATTTAGAAGAGAGCTTTGATTTGATAAACTCCAAGCCGAAGCCTCTTGCTGCTTATCTCTTCACAACGAGCAAGAAACTCAAGGAAAAATTCCTGAATTCTGTATCTGCTGGAGGGATGCTCATCAATGATACAACCCTTCATGTAATCTCTTCATCTTCAAGCTTATAATCCTCCAGCTTCTACATGAACACTTGAACTATCATGTTGTTTTTTCTACTCACGTCTTGCAGTTTACAAATACTAATTTGCCTTTCGGCGGTGTGGGAGAAAGTGGAATGGGATCATACCATGGAAAATTCTCGTTTGATGCATTTACTCATAAGAAAGGTGTTCTACATAGAAGCTTTGTCGGCGAAGTTTCTGCAAGATATCCTCCATATACACCCAGAAAACAGAAGTTCCTTAAGGCTGTTCTCAATGGTGACATTACAGACTTGGTTCTTTCTGTGTTTGGATGTTTAAAATCCTAATTGCTTGCGTTATTTCTCTCTCTAATCTTCTCCAACATATGAATTTGAAGCATATCGATATTGTGACAAATGATTGACATAATACCTCAGAATTGTGGGAAGATTGTACCTTCCAATGTTTAGTGTTTTCTATATTTCGTTGTGTTGCTTAGTTCCGGAAAGGTGGGTCAATTTATACTTTGTTCAGTGCTGTACTTTGGAGAAGGCTTATTTGAATATCAATATAATAAACAAAGTAGCCTAACCTTTTTATGGAGAGATTATTATGTGCGGCAACCTATTCACTGTGTACATATTTATACACATTGTATGTCAAATCAGTGTACACTAACAGTCCGAACAGTTTTTCTAGTTTGAATGCTGCACTGAATAATGGATTAATCCTCGAAGTAGTTTTGTTCTTGTTAATCTTAGAGGCTTTAGCTGATTGGTTAAAAGTTAAAACTCAACTCCAATCACTCCTACCAGACAAAATTCATGATCTTCTACAAGCAAACTTATTGCTTACAATCATGATCCCCTCGAGAACCCAGTATTGTCATATAGGACCCAATCAATCTCGATCTCCCTTAAATCTCACTAGCCTTGCATTTGCCAAAATGCGCACAATGCTTTTATTACACTCATCTCTTCATATGCTTCTGTCTGAAACTTTGCACTCACTTGGCCTTCATCCATACTAGTGGCATTTGCCTACATTTGAGCACACTTGACTATTTTTTAGCTATTTGTTATGTGTATATGCGTGTCATGCATTTGTTGATTGTACACAACTTATTTTACTACTGGTACAACAATTAATTTTTTTTTTAATAAAACTTAGGGCGGAGCTTACGCGTTAATAATGATAAAAATTACGCGTCCTTAAAGGATCAGAAGCTCGTTAAAAATACATCATTTGAAAGAAAATTTGAGAGCTTTAAATCCTACCTAATACAAGAAATTAAAAACCAAATCAAAGCATAGTAAAAGATGAAATACAAATAAAGAAACAACATCAGCACCAACCACAACATCCAAAAAGTCACCCCAATGCATGGCCAAGCGACACAGCCATCACCAACAACAATCCAAGTGATATGGATCAAATCCAGGTAAAGAAAGCGCCACCCTGCAAACAATGTTAAACATAGAGACTAGAAAAAATAAAGAAGAATGTAGGAGCACTTCCCCCACAACCAATAGTAAAGAATCACCCAACAAGTTCTACAACCATTACAACCAGAGGAAAACAACAACAAAAGGGAGGAAAAGGAGGCTGAATTAGCAAATACTCAAATCAACAAAACCAATAACTTCTTTCTTGTTTTTCGCCTATCCGCTTGCCAACACCATGAAATTGGACTTTTTTGGCACGACGACTTACATTCAAGCTACACTCATGAAAATCATCCTCTATATCATCCAAACCGTCTCTAGCATTCCTACAAGGAGAGGAGCAAGACCTATCCAAGCAATCCGAATGGCCCACATAACTCAAGTTGAATTTGGAAACCAATTGATTTTTCAATTCTTCAGAAGAAATAAGTGCAATAGGAGCATCCACAACTGACACATTCACAGTTGTCCCCAAACAACTATTTGAAACATCATTAGCTACCAAAGAAATTAGAGCAATAGAACTAGGAAATTCAATATTATTATCCAAAGTTGTACCCAAAAAAGTAAGATATTGAGTATCCAAACCAACAATAGTGTCAGCCTTCTCAATAGGCCCAATAGAAACCAACCCATCCAAAGGACTTGAAGCATCACAGTCCACTTGATCCACATAATCCAAATTCATAATGAGAGATTCAATAGGAGAAGCAATATTAGTCATACAAGCATCAGTTTCCATAATCTCAACCTAAGACTCATTAGTAGCAAAAGAAGCAGGCATAGGCATAACAACAACTGACGACAAAACATCCTCCTCACCAGGACCAACAACAACCCCATCAATCTCCACCTCAATATCAGATACCCCATCAATATTCCCATTAATAAGAACCTTATTAATAGGAAAATCTGTGAAATTCACAACATCAACAATAACATTTTTTGAAACATCAGAAGCCTTTCCAACAGTTGTAAGTTGATTAGAAATTGGGACAGAGGACTTATTACAATCCCCCTAGCATGCCCAATACAATTACAACTATCACAAAAGGGGGAAATTCCTCCATACCAACAAGCTGAATATACACATACTTTTCAAGTCCGAGACAAACTTTGTTCGGATATTTTTTTGTAATGTCAAGCTATACCAAAACCCACGCAACAGATGGTCAAGATGGAGGTGGCATTGTCAGCCTTCAAAGGACGTCGAAATAATGTACCAAGAGCATGGAGGATATGAGGAGAGAATAGGTGAGGTCTTAAATTAGAGAATGTGATCCAAATGGGAATAACCAGCGATTTAACACCAATATCAAGTAAGGGCGACCATTTGGTTAACTTCATATAACAATTATTGACAAAATAAGATGATGAGGATATCGAAGACCAACGGCTATGATCGTGTCTATTTATTTTGATATATTTTATGTATTTGATTTGTTATTGTATTTTTTCCTTTCTACCCTCACTTGAGGGCTTTGTCTTATGATTGCCCTAGGGGCAATTGTGTCTTTTTATTTTCCTTCATGTATTTGGCTATTTAAGCATTCTCCCTCCTCTTGGAGAGGGGATGATGATTAATATGAAATTTCGGCTTTTTGTTGGATCTCTTTGTGAGTTCTAGAGTGAGTGGTGAAGCCTAGGAGAGGCTCAATCGAAGTACCCAACAGCCCTCTTTGTGATAGCTCTTGGTTCCTATTTTCTTTCTCTTCCAATTCTTTCTTTCTCCCATACCCGCCGGCTCCCAAACCAGCCCCCACACAGCCGGCTAGCCACCCGCCCCTCCCCCTTTCTTTAGCCTCTAGATCCCGCTCCCTCCACCTACAGTCCGGCCCCACTTCCTCCCCCACGGCCGCCGGACCCCATGTCTGAAGCCGCCAGCCACCCATGGAACCCCACCCGCCGGCCATCCAAAATTCATCCTTGGAATTTAAATTTCAAATTTGAATAGGCTTTCAATACTTTCCTAATTCGTTCCTTTGTCATTTAGGAAGTTTCATATTTGAAATTCAATTTGAAATTTGAATTTTGATTCCCTCCTTAGATGACAAAACCCAATTGGGAAACTTTTCATATTTAATCAAATCTGAATTTAATTCAGAATTTGATTTGATTATTGTATTCAACCACATTGGCCCCACTCACATTGAATTTAGACACAAAATTCAACCCCCATAGAGCCGGCCCCTCTCTCCCTCCCTCCTCTCTCCACTTTGCCACCTAAGAACCAATTAAATCCCTCATAACTCCCATAATAACCGCTGGCCCCCCCCCCCCCCCCCCCCATTACTCCATTAATTGCAAGATTAATTGGAATTCAAGTTTCAAAATTAATTTCAGGTTTTGAAAACAAAACCCCCTCCTCCTCTTCTTTTTTCTTTCCCATAATGACCTCCCAATCAACTCCTTAATTGAATCCAATCAATTCCTATTGGATTTGAATTATTCCAATCAGCCTTGACGGAGAGTTTTGGGATGGAAATACTTTGTTTCCCTGCAGCCATAGCCATCCCCTTCCCAAGCCTCTTCCCCCCCTACGTCTCTTACATGTAGGGGAATCCGATTCCTGGATGCTGACGTGAGTTACATCAGCATAATCTTGATGCTCTGCTTCCCCAGTAAGCCCGTATTGCTGCCCAAGACTCCTTTGACAGGAGAAACTGCTGTCCCATCTCTTTAGTTGCTGTTCGAATTGCTGTTGGAAGTATTTTGAAGGCCAAAAGGGTTTCTCAACCAGCAATTGCTGCTTCCTACACATCTCCAGTTGCTGTCCAATCAGTTTGGTGGCCATATTCTTGCTGGCATGCTGTCCAAGAAGTCAATGATCACCTTCCTAAATGTGTCCAAGCCTTGACGTTGTTGATTGCTCTTCATCCAGTGCCTTGGTGATCAAACTGGAAGCTTCGTATTCTCTGATTATTTGGGTAAACTCTCCCCCAAATCCTTAAATCTCTTAGTCACTTTTCAATTGTGGTTTATAAATGATTCATGAAGATTCTCGTCACTCTCCATTAAACCCTTTTAACTTGATAAGTTGAGTGAGGGATTTCCTTGTAGTGACTAGTCTTATTGTTAGCATTGAGATTTATGGTTGGAAACCAATCATGTATGCAATGTTAGATTAACTTGATTGTTCTCTGATCTTAACTTTTATGCACGTGATTCGACCTAAACTTGTTTTACCACTCTTAGTGTTTTATTGCGTCGTTTAAATTCAACATTAAGATATAATTCTTTGTTCTAGAAATATTACGTGTGCAAATTCCTTAAAGCAATTCATCCATGCAATTAAGTTTCACATCATAAGATCTATGAGCAAACACTCTGCTATAGTACAAATCATTCATCAACTTAAACAAAATATGTGACAGGTTGAGCAAAGTCACGGAAAAATCGGCATTAAGCTTAAGGTTGAAGAAAAATTTTCGGATAGAATCTAGTCTATGACAATGGCTATGAAAAAAAACCAACCAAAGCGAATTGCAAGGGATCCGCTAGTGCCAGTATTTCCTTCTCTGAAATCCATAGAGAGGGCATACCACGAAATGAAGAAGGTTTAAGCTCTGGAAAACACACATCCGAGGAGGAACCAGATAAAACATCTAAAAAAGTTTTTGATTTCAAAGAACCATCCAAAAATCCTGTGTTAGAAATGTGATTCATCGCCATTCGACCAGGAATGTCCAGAGGACGGCGAGACTAGAGAGCCAACCAAACAATAACAACAAAACTGAAGTAACAATCTAAAAAAAAAAGGTATTTTCCTGCGTGGTTAATTCTGGCAGTCTTAAAGTCGTCAAAATTTTTCATAACAGCCAAAAAATTGGTATATTCTACCGGAAAATGCCGTCAGTAATGAATAATTTCCTGTAGTGAATTCCCTATTGCAAATTATTTATAGAATTCACCCATCACATCATCAAGTGAAATAACTTTACATGATTGATTCTACCATTCTTAATACTGCAACAACATTATCCCATCTTCTACAACACTAAGCTTTTTTACTCCTTACCCACTAGTCTCTTACCAATCTATCCTAGCTGTAGAACATGGTAAT